GGGGGGCAGGGAAGCAGTGGGAGGGGCTGGGGAGCCCCGCCCCGCTCCCAGCCAGGTGCCTGGCGAGGGGAGAGAGGGGCCGAGAGCGAGGCATGCTGGGAGCGCCCATTTCCGCCCCGTGGCGTTGCACAGGTGGGAATCTCCGCCCATTCCCTCAGCCAATCAAAAGCCAGTTTACTCTCCCCAGGAGCCTGGGCAGCCTGTCAGTCACGTGACCCGCCTCAGGTGCGCTGTCTCCATGGTTTCGCGGGCCGGGGCGGGCCGTGCCCTGACCCCGCCCCTTCGCTTGGTTTCCCAATGGGCTGGTGTCTTTCGTCCCATGGAGACAGAGTTGGACTTAAAAGAAGTACTCGGGATCTTTTTCAGGGGGATAAGGCAACACGCCACATTTATTGATCACACATAGAATAATCAACACTTATCATATGCATATGATATATATATGTCACTCACACACACACACACACACACACACACACACTCACAAGCACACTCCGTCTTGCTGTTGTTACCAACGAGTTGCTCCCCTTAACTGCACTGGCCAGGTGAGTTAGATGGGGGAGGGGTGGAGCCGGGCTTCTGCTGATCCGGATCGATGCTCCGATGGTGACAAGACGAAAACCCGGGGTCCTCTGCAAGACACCTCACTTTTATAGCATCCCTCTCATATGCAAATCTATCCCAGATTCAAACTCTGGGTCTGTGTCCGTTGGTCCCTTTGTGCTGCAGAGAGGGTGTTTTCCAAAGAAGGTGCCTGCTTCTAATCCCCAAGGCCGTCAATATGTCTGCTCTTCTTTCTTCAGCCCGCTTGACACCTTGGGTCTGGCTTCCACCCCCTCTTCAACTAGTGTAGCTCTCTGGAGGGGCTTGGCTCCCAAGTCTTACTCATTCACACCTCATTCATTCAACAGGGCAATTGATTACAGAGTGGGGGGAGAGAATGGGGGGAAGATCTTATTCTACTCCTAGCAAAAGACATTTTACCATTTTAACTATAGATTCAGTTTTCTACAAGTTTTTCTACATAGGGTTCTAATACAAAGTGACAAGGTTCTATGGATTTAGGTTCTAATACAAAGTGACAAGATTCTGTGGATTTAGTTTCTAATGCAAAGTGACAAGGTTCTATGGATTCAGGTTCTAATACAAGTGACAAGGTTCGGTGGATTCAGGTTCTAATACAAAGTGACGAGGTTCTGTGGATTCAGGTTCTAATACAAGTGACGAGGTTCTGTGGATTCAGGTTCTAATACAAGTGACGAGGTTCTGTGGATTCAGGTTCTAATACAAGTGACGAGGTTCTGTGGATTCAGGTTCTAATACAAGTGACGAGGTTCTGTGGATTCAGGTTCTAATACGAAGTGACAAGGTTCTGTGGATTCAGGTTCTAATACAAGTGACGAGGTTCTGTGGATTCAGGTTCTAATACGAAGTGACAAGGTTCTGTGGATTCAGGTTCTAATACAAGTGACGAGGTTCTGTGGATTCAGGTTCTAATACGAAGTGACAAGGTTCTGTGGATTCAGGTTCTAATACAAGTGACGAGGTTCTGTGGATTCAGGTTCTAATACGAAGTGACAAGGTTCTGTGGATTCAGGTTCTAATACAAGTGACGAGGTTCTGTGGATTCAGGTTCTAATACGAAGTGACAAGGTTCTGTGGATTCAGGTTCTAATACAAGTGACGAGGTTCTGTGGATTCAGGTTCTAATACGAAGTGACAAGGTTCTGTGGATTCAGGTTCTAATACAAGTGACGAGGTTCTGTGGATTCAGGTTCTAATACGAAGTGACAAGGTTCTGTGGATTCAGGTTCTAATACAAGTGACGAGGTTCTGTGGATTCAGGTTCTAATACGAAGTGACAAGGTTCTGTGGATTCAGGTTCTAATACAAGTGACGAGGTTCTGTGGATTCAGGTTCTAATACGAAGTGACAAGGTTCTGTGGATTCAGGTTCTAATACAAGTGACGAGGTTCTGTGGATTCAGGTTCTAATACGAAGTGACAAGGTTCTGTGGATTCAGGTTCTAATACAAGTGACGAGGTTCTGTGGATTCAGGTTCTAATACGAAGTGACAAGGTTCTGTGGATTCAGGTTCTAATACAAGTGACGAGGTTCTGTGGATTCAGGTTCTAATACGAAGTGACAAGGTTCTGTGGATTCAGGTTCTAATACAAGTGACGAGGTTCTGTGGATTCAGGTTCTAATACGAAGTGACAAGGTTCTGTGGATTCAGGTTCTAATACAAGTGACGAGGTTCTGTGGATTCAGGTTCTAATACGAAGTGACAAGGTTCTGTGGATTCAGGTTCTAATACAAGTGACGAGGTTCTGTGGATTCAGGTTCTAATACGAAGTGACAAGGTTCTGTGGATTCAGGTTCTAATACAAGTGACGTCACTGGGGGGGGGCGGTGGTTCCCCCCGCACAGCTGTGCCGCCCCTCATGCTGGCCAGCCCTGCCTGGGCCCTGCTTCCTCCTGTCGCGAGGACCACAGGTCCGATGGTGAGTACCCAGGGGGAAGGACAGAGCCAGGTGGACAGTTTTATCAAATAAAATTATTTATTTATGACAGAGGTGACTTTCTAGTGTTTATTCTAAGACTTGTAATAGGCCGTGTTGATAATGAATTTACAGTATTTGTTATATTTATTCTATGGCTTCTAGTAAAACGTGCCAGAGATATAGGGATGGGAACGGCAAGGGGAATAGTCTCTTATCTTAAACTATCCAGCTACAGTAATTAAATAACAGTGATAACTACAAACTCTATGTACTACCCACAAACAACTACAACACTGAGCTTATACAACAGGAAAAACTCAAATCCTACGTACCAACGTACACAGCACACGGAACGTTTCACAGCTATCGGTTCGGTTGCGAAGGCCTAGGTTACGCCCGAGAGTCGGGGGAGGTGGCTGGTCGGTTGATCAGGCCGGCAGCGCTTGGAAGTATTCGAGAAGGCACACGCACGGTGGTACGTGTGTTGCAAAGACCTCCTCGAGCAAACTGTGCCCTGGGTATTTATCCCCAAATCCGCACATCACTTCCCTGCGCTTGCATATTACCATATATGGCCCAATGGTCACCAAGTGGGGGGTCTGTGTCCCAGGGGTTGGGCCGAAACTGTGCAGGTTTCATGCGACCAGGTAAGCCCCGCAGTTCTCACGCCAAGGTGACGGGTGGGAGAGTCTGAGGCTATTTTCTCCTCTATTGTGGAGCTAGGAAGGTCTCCTCGGGCTGCTTACCCAGATGGATCTTCCCTGGAAATAGCCCCAGGAGAGCTCCTGAAATCATTTCTTCAAGAGTCAAATCTGCTCTGAGACCTGAGGTTCAAGGTGCAGCAGTGGGTTCCTGTGATCTCGGGAGCCTGTCAGAGGGGAAGGAAAGGGAAACGGAGCCGCATCCCGGGGCCCGAGGGCTGAGAGAGGCAAGGCTGACCCTGGGTCATTGCTAGGGGAGGGCAGGCAGGAATACGTTCTAGCAGGTGCTAGGCCCGGGCACACTGCAGTGTTAGTTAACACTGGCACTAGCCTGTCGTTCAGGCTGTCTGCACACCACAGGCTGATGAGTTCTTTCCTGTACAACTCGCAATAGCAGCCAGCAGAAGGAAGATGAGCTCCAGCGACAGCAGCGAATCGGAGAATGCCCAGGCCCTGGAGGGAGCTTTCGAGGCAGAGGAGCCGTGCCTAGGGCAGAGAGGGAAACGTGATCTCCTGCCGGCTGTCTCTCTGATCGATCTGGACGAGCAAGTGGCAGAAGACGGCGAGGCAGAGACCACCCTCAGAAAGAAAAAGCGAAAACACAGGTGAGTTTCCTCCACACCGTTCTCTGCAGCCTGTTCCCTCGTGCTCCTCAGGTGTCACCTCGGCCTCCCAGGACCAGGGAGGAGCCAGCTAAGTCTGGGTGGCAGCTGCCCAGGGCCTTTCCCCAGGCCAGAGCATGGCTCGCTCGGATGTGCTTTCTCTGGACACCATGCGCATGCTGAGCCCGTGATGATCGTGGCTGCCCCATACCCCAAGCCCGCAGGCTGCTGGTCGCGTACCACAACTCCAAGGCAGACACTGTAGGTGCTTCAGCATGCGGGCCTGGGGTCCCACAGCCACGCCCACACATGCTGGATGAGACCGGGTGTTTGTCTAGGCTGGCAGGAAGGGAGACTTTGCAGGTGCTCTGGCTACAGAGACTGAGCAGGTGGAGTGCTAAGTCAGGAAGCAGCTCTTGTTTGGGTCCCTGGGGGTGTGACAGTAAGAGCCAGCAGGGAACCGTCTGCAGCACATAGCTCGCGTTAGTCACTGTCTCTGCCCAGCATGGGGGAGGCCTCAGCTGGAGCACTGTGTCCAGTCCTGGGCACCCCACGGTAGGACAGTGACTCTGCTCTGCAGGACGGAGATGAAAGGGCTAGAAAAACGGACCCGTGGGAAAAGGTCAAACAATTGCTGGTTTAATCTTGAGAAAAGGAGGCTGGGCGGCAGTGTTCCATCCATGTGTGGAATAAATTGTTGCTGCACCAAGGCATGTGCGGATGTGCACCACCAGTAGCAACTCAGAAGGAGCTGTGGGCACCCTGCCGATCAGCTGCGTGGCTTGGGCTCTCTGCTGAGCGGCCACACGTGCCCAGGCTCACCAAGGCATGTGCGGATGTGCACCACCAGTAGCAACTCAGAAGGAGCTGTGGGCACCCTGCCGATCAGCTGCGTGGCTTGGGCTCTCTGCTGAGCGGCCACACGTGCCCAGGCTCCAGGGAGCGCTGCTGGGGGCCTGTGTCTGATCCGGCTCCGGTTCTGTCAAGGGCTGTTAGAGTGGGGCTGGTGACCAGCTGCTCCCCTTGTTCAATGGAGACAGGAGAAGCAGCGATGGGCTTAAACTGCAGCCAGGTTAGCTCCTAGGAAAAGCTTTGTAAGGACAAGGGGAGCTACGCTCCAGAGCAGGGCGGGTCTGGGATCCCCAGCCCTGGAGGTTAGAAGAGCAGTCGGCCAGCCCCCTCGCCTGGCTGGTCTTGGTACAGGACCTGCCTCAGCGAGGTTCTCTCCAGCCCCCTTGTCCCATTTCTTAGTGTGCGCCACACGCCTCCGCTGGCCGTTCGCTTGCCTGGCTTGGGCCGGGTACTGGCGGGG